TTCATGAAACCATATGATGGCAAGCCAATCAACCTTGCTACGTATACGGTGGCTAAGTGAGTGGATCAATATATAAATTTTGTTAGGATTAATTCAAAATAATATTATGAAAAATCTGTTGAGATTTCAATTTTATTTAGTGCAGATATTCTGCATAGAATTTGATATTTCTGTTATTAGGATTGAAGATTTTTATGAGTATTTTTAGATCTTTTTTTATTCACTTGTAAGCCTATAAATAGACATATTCTTTTGTTAATTCAATGTAGTGCAAAACAAGAAGTGCAAAACAAGAAGTGCAAAACATTATTAATCATTTTATGCATTTCCATTTTTCCTTCCAAAATCTCAACAAATTTACCCTTATACTTTCTGCAAAAAAAAATTTATGACACCATTAACTTTTACTTTGATTTATTAACATTTCAAATTTTAAAAGTTATTCACTAAATATTTCAATTTGAAAAAATAATTTTATTGAACGCTCGAATTAGATAATTTCATTTCTTCCTATGAAGATAAGTATTGTAAAATTAGATCAATTAAACACCTATTGGATAATTGAAAAATTGAAAATTACACTACAAAAAAGTGATAAAAGGGGACAAGAATTAGAGACGATGAATAATATTTGTTCCCAAAAGTCTTAACCCCTTGGAAGTAGGGGGACAATTTTAAAAATTGTCCCTTTTATGATAATAAGACACAAAGGGGATAATATGAATTTAATACGATATCTTACTCATTTTAATTAGGAATTGGATAATAGTTGCACCAATAATAAATGACAATTTATGTCTCCGATACTAAGGATAAGTACTGTCATTAATTTTAGAAATGACTGATGTTCCATATAGGAGATATGATAACTTCTGTCTCTATTACTAATGATAAGTATTGTCATAAATTTTGGGGATGACTGATGTCTTATATAGGGGATACATCTTACGTCTCGTATACTAAGAACAATTATTGTCATCAATTTTGGAGACGACTGACGTCCTATATGTATGGGATACAACTTACGTCTTGTATATTATTATCATCAATTTTAAGGACAACTGACGTCCCATATGAAATGAATAGCTTATGTCACCTATACTGGTAACAAGTATGTCATAAATTACACAGGGAAAAACTATCAAAGGCACTATTTGATGTAATGGTTTGGGGATTCGGAAGAATTCTTAAGTTAAGTATGTTTGTGTGGGAGAAATCTTATGATGAGTGACTTCATGAGAAGTTTTCCATTTCATTTATGAGATATAGGAAGACAAATATTGACCACATTTTTAGAACAATTTTCGTCTAAAATTGGAAAGACGATGTATGACTCTTAAATTAATTGTCATCCACCGGAAAATGGTATGGAATAGGGTATGCTTGTTAAGAGATCGCTCATAAGGGACAAAGCTAATTGTCCCCAAGAGTATTGGTGATAATTTTTTTAACTTAAGATGACGATTTTAAATGTCCTCTCGTAGATTCTTTTTTTTTTAGTGTGATTATTTCAAATATTATACTAACCACACATTAAGTGAATATTTTGCACATCAATATCAAAAACATTAATAATTGTTATTGCTAGTATGAAGAGGGATACAGTCTTTCCAAAATTTGTAACTTCAGGGCATAATAGATCCCTCGCAAAGTTTGGGGTGCCACAATATTTTTTCCGTAAAGTACAGAGATAAATTTATACATTTGACCTTAAATAAACTGATATACAACTAATTCTTATTTGTCATATACTATACTGATGATGATGTATTGTGAAAAATATATGTGCATATATTAACAAGCTTTTACAAAAATGTCGTGATCTTCAAGTGTATATTTGGTAGGCCTCAATCAAAGCCAAATAGGATTTGTATCCTATTTTGGGTGAGAATAAACTGCAGTGAGCTTTTATTGAAATTTATCTCCTTATTTTCAACTAAAGAGAAGTTTAAATACAATAATGATCGAAGCACTTCTCCTAATTCTTAGATCATATCCCTAAGAAATAGGCCACTAAAGTCACAATGTTGTTCACCAAAAATGAAAACAACGACTATAAAATAAACTACTTTCTCTTATTCCTAAGGAAGCAAGACCAAGTCATAATTTCTAGTAGATATTAACTTATCAATGCCTCCCTCTCTTTTACTGGGACCTTGTTCCTACGGTTCATGAATTTTTCATCCAGCCTTAAAAGTTTTCACTTGGCGGTCAGACTTATCATCATTTCAACCATTGTTCTTACTACCGCCTTCTAATAAGAGTAGTTGCAGACTGTGACAGTTATGACCAAGTATAAATTTCTCATCATAATTAAAGCATAGCCCTTGAGTTTCTTCATCTCTTCCCAAGTAAGCTACTTCCCAAGCCTCCCATGAATGTTCCTACTAAGGCCCTTTGTGTCCATCCTTTAACCTGATTGCCTAATCGCTCGAACTCTTTCTAATATTCTCGTAATTAGCCTACTTGTTTGACATGGCTTTATCGAAGTCCTCACAGTCAATAAGACCACATCGCGCCCAGAGTTCGTCATGGAAAGTCTCTCATGTTACTATCTTATTTTCTTTCTTATAAGACCTCTTCAACCATTTCTACCACTGATTAGCTTTCCCTTCTAATGAAAGAAACTAAGGGTACCTTAGTTTTATGTTCCATATATACTAAGGAGTTGTTCTAGTCTTTTTATGTTCCATATTGATGGTGAAAAATGTGTACAGATTAATGCGCTTTTCATTTTTCTGATTTTATTTAACTAATTCAGATTTTAATTTGAATGTATTCGGAAAGTCTATTAACTTAGATTAGATTCCTGAATTAGTTAAACTTTTTTTCAGTTTTCTCTTCTCTAATAATATTAACAAATTTATTTACTGATAAAAAAAAAATTGACACGCTTTTACAAAATTGTCATGATGATGTGAAGAGAATATTTTGTGCATGTAATTTGTATGTATATATGGTGTGTATTTTACATTTAACCAATATAACAATAAGCAAGCTTTGGAGGAAAGTTGTCGCTAAGGATACATGATATTTGGATATTAGTGAGAAAATAACTATAAACATAATAAAAAGAAGGCAAAATTCATATTTCAAACCTAGTTAGTTACTGTTTCATATTTTATGTTTCCCTATTTATTAATATGTCATTTGATTTAAAAATTCCCTTCAAAAAATTGTTTAGAAAAAATATTTCAAACTATTTACAACTTATACTTGGCTTTGCATGTATATTAACTCAATTAGAGCTGAAATTTGAAATAAAAGATTTAGCTACACACCATTTAACTAAAAAAAAAAAAAAAAGTTTGGTTTGAATATTCCCATTATCTCATAAATAGCATGCAACACTTTTTGGATATGCACTCGAGATACTAATTAAAGGCAGGTCCACAAATAAAGAGAGTAGATAGTCACATGCTTAGTTATGACCATATGTTGATCTAAAGTCACAAAAGAAGAAATGCATGGTCAATTTTCAAAATTTTGAATATTTAATTATTTATATACAATTCATAGATCGGGCCCCCTAATTTTGTTGGAGTCTAGTTGAAATACATAATTAATTCAGCAATATAATTAAGTATATTTAGATGTAATCTGAAAAATTATCATGATTAATCCCTAGGATTTCCGAATGCATTAAAAAAAATGGAGAAGAAACCCAATATTTAACTTGAATTTCAAGAAAAAAACAAGTAAATTGCATATATTTTAATGAAATCTTTTAAAAGATATTAATTTATGATATAAATAGAAACACAGAACTAGGTGTAAGAATTGAAATTAATTATTTAATTTAGGAAAAATAATTAATTCGTCCTTAAGATTTGATCAAATTAACTAAGTCATTCCTGCAATTTAAGATATTTTTCTTATTAACTATCATGTGTACTTAATTCTTCTTCTTAAATAAAATGAATTAGAATAATTGGAAAATTAAACATTTCCAAATAGGTGAAAATAAAAAATGAATAAGAAGAGTTGCTTAATTTTCAACTTATTTTAATTTGTATGATCGTTAAAAATCATTAATTTGCTTTAATTTTTTTTAAGCAAGTTACTATATTTATAAATATATTGCAGATTTTTGACATTTTAATATACATACTGTTAATTTTTTTTACCTTTTATCCACATGAAATTATTACTTTTATCTATTATTTCCACTGTAGATTCGTGAATCCACCACTTTACATCTTATACATATTAAATTTAAGACAAATTCAATGGTTAAGGATATATGGAAATAAGTTTAAAATAGTAGTAAATTTGTTATAATATTATATTTTCTTTCTTAATATTACACTAGACAGCGTAGTTGTGGTTGTTTTTCACCGTAAAAGGATAAAATAGAACAATTTTTAAAAAATTTCTATATTTAAAAAATTTTTATTTTTATTTGTTTTTCCGTCCTGGATGGGTAATAGATTCATTCTAAATAAGTTAATCTCATAAAAGAAAAATCCTTAACCCCACTTATGGACCAAACAATTAAAAATAGTAATTTTTTAAAAATTATTCATAATTTATCTTTTTTTTTAGTGTATAGTCAAAAAAATTATCGTTTCAATAATAATTCATATTTTCATTAATTTGGTCAATCGACGAAGTTATAAATTCAGTCTAGATAAATCAATCTTAACTATAAACACGAAAGTGAGAGTTAATTACCTCATTTTGAAGAGATACGTATATAATATGTGGTTTAATTTGGTCTAATTCACACCAAAAATATGACTTTTTGGTTTAATTTTTAATTAAAAGACTTTGTAACAGTAACAACAACAAATAATAATAATAATAATAATCATTACCATTAAGTTCTTAATTATATATTTGGAAAGTTTAACGAGACAAAACAACACAACTCAAACGCCATACCCTCACAAGTGATAGATTTTCAAAGCCGGCATAGTTGACCACCGACCACTCAAAAAATCAGCTATAAAGTAACAAAACGAAACCTAAGACTTTCTATAAAGTCAAACCTCTCCATTTCTTCTCTTCTCTTCTTCTATATTTAACTTTTCCCCGTCTCTTCTCTTCTTCTTCATCTCCATAACCCACATTTCGACATTTCGGTTCAGTTCGGTTTTCAAGTTTTCTTTGCTTATTTTGTACGTTAACATGGGAAATGCCATATCTCCATGTTTCAATACAAGAAACTCAGAATCATCTTCAACAAAGCTAATATTCTTCGAAGGAACAACCAAGATTCTAACAGGAAAACACATAGCAGGAGAAGTGATGTTTGAGAATCCAGACATGATGGTTTGCCATGCAGATTCCTTTTTTATTGGCCATCCTGTACCATCTCTAGCCATTGATGATGAGCTAAAACAAGGTCAGACCTATTTTGTGCTACCCATTGATCGATTCGCTTGTAAGGTTTTCACAGCTGCTTCTCTTGCTGCTTTAACCTCTAGCCCTAAACAAGTTCCTATCTCTTCCGGTGACAGTCCTTTTGAATATGTAAAAGGTACAAATGGTAGGGTTTCGATAAGGGTTTTGCCTGAGTTTATAATTAGGCTTATAAATAGAGGGCAAGAGGGAAATGGATCTGATACTAACGGTAACGATAGCTTTCTTTGTAGTACTCCAGAGTTGAAAAAGCACTATGAACAGCTTGTTGGCTCTAGAGAACAAACATGGTCACCAAAACTTGAGACTATTTCTGAGCATAAAATTAGGTATTCTCCTTGTAAATTTTTAGGGTTGGAGTGGAAAGAGAAAGAAAATGATTTTTCATGATTTATTTATTTCTTTCTTTTTCTTTTTTTTTCTTTTGTAGTAAATCTTTTCAAATAATTGAAGGGAATTAGATAAAATATTGTTATTCTATAGTATTTTGTTTCTTCTTATTTTAATTTTTTTGTTTTTGTACAAAGTTTGCTGCTAATAAAATGCCCAATTTGTTAGTAATTAATTTACAATTCAATTTAGAGCTTTTCGTGTAGAAACAGAAAGTTTCTCATTTCTCAATCATATTGTTGCTTAATTATTCAATTTCATTTCATTCTAAAAGAAAAATTCAATCTCAAAATTATTTATTCATGCAAATTATTTAACCCATCTTCTGCTTTGAATAGTTTATATAACCCCTCCCATTAAAAAATTTACCCTTCTCTTTGGTTAATTTGATTTGAATTGAATTCAAATGCTCATCAATCTTACGTGGTACTTTTTCTCTCCTTATACGTTTACACAATATATAGCCAATTGGCCCATATATGATACATATCTATGCTTGTTAGTTCAGGACCATCATAATAAAAAGAGAAATGGGAGATACATAAATTCATCTATATATTTTTTTTGAAAAATATTTTATAACACGAGATTTATTGTGTTGCTAAAGTTATATATTGCAGTATGATATTAGCAATACTTTGAGCTATTGCTGAGCATAAAAATACATGTATTATCCTCCTCTGTAAGTGGTTTTTAAAACCCGGGGGTTGGACTTCAATCAAAGTCGGAAAGGATAAAGAGAAATGATTTTGCCATCGAGTATATTTATTTGCGTTTCTTTTTCTTTTTTTTTTCTTTGTGAAGGTTAAGCTGTCAATCTTTATTCAAATAATTCGAGGGATAGATAAAATATTTTATTCCTATAGTATATTGTTTCTCTTATTTAATGTTTGATTGTTTGTATCACTCCAATTTGCTGACAAGAGCATCTTGAAATGACCCAATTTGTTAGTTCAAATTATATATGTAATGCCAATTCATATTTATAAGAGGCTTCTAATCGTGTAGAACGTACAGAAGTTTCTAAATTTCTCAATCAGTATTGTGTCGCTTAATGTACTTCAAGTTCAGTTTCAATTTCGTAAAAGAAAAGATTCACTCCATCTCAGAAATTATTTATATCATGCCAAATTATTTAAACCCATCTCTGCTTTTGAATAGTATTATATCAACGCCTCTCCATTTAATTAAAAATATTACCCTTCTCTTTTGGTTAATTTGATTAGTATTGAATTCAGAAATTCGGATAATCAATCATGTTACGTGGTACTTTTTCTTCACTTCGTCCGCTCAACAAACGCAACCATATATCAAGACCGAATTGCCCCATATATGATACATGTCTATGCTTGTAGTCAGTGGCGAGTACATAGTAGAAAAGAGAAAATGAGAAGATATCATAAACGTGGTGCATCTATATTTATTTTTTTTTGAAATAATAGATTATTAATAACAGGCGAGGATTATATTGTGTGTTGCTAAAGTTAATGTATATTGCAGTATGATATATATTATTTTTTGAAAAAAATTTTATGAACCAGCTGGCATCGATTTATTGTGGTGCTAAAAGTTAATATATTGCATCAGTACTATCAATAACGCGTACCTATTTTCTATGCTTGTTAGTTCAGGACCATCATAATAAAAAGAGAAATGGGAGATACATAAATTCATCTATATATTTTTTTTGAAAAATATTTTATAACACGAGATTTATTGTGTTGCTAAAGTTATATATTGCAGTATGATATTTTTTTTTGAAAAATATTTTATAACACGAGATTTATTGTGGTGCTAAAGTTATATATTGCAGTAATCATACGACATTTTTTCATCAATGGTAATAATAAATTTTTTAATTTTTATAACACTAGTAATAATACACATTTTTTAATTTTGTTATGTAAAATGTTGATATAATATGTGATTAGTACGATTTTGAAACAATAATTTTCATCATTTACAATTATTTAATATGTGTTTAGTTTATCAAATTTTATATGTTGGAGCATTTTATGAAATAATTTTGTAAATTGAAGTGTTTATTAGATATAATTTTATAAGTTGAAGTGTCTAATAAATCAAAGTAAAAATTGAAGGTATCAAAAATTTATGTGAATAGTAGGTGAGTAAGTTTATGCATTTAGCAAACGGGAGATTAAAATGATATTCGCAGTAGGCTAGTGATAATAAAGTTAAGCTTATCTTATGTATGCATTAGGCATTGCCATGCATGTTTTCTGGCTTAAGACAGACATATGTTAATGGAAGATGAAATTAAGGTTAGGTTCAATGTAATTAATTATGTATTGGGATAAAGATTATATTACATAGCTGATGATTGCGATATTTGGATGAATTTTTTCGACTTTGTACTAATTAGTATTATAATTTTATTTTACTTAAAATAATGTAATATTCATTCCATTCAAAAACCTATGTAATTGTAATTGAATTACAATTTTTTTAAAGCTAAACTCTAACCATATTCAATCTCAAACTCTATCATTCACTATCACATCCATCACCATCATTCCACTACTACCATCGCCACTACCACTGTCACCACATTATTATTATTAATATAAAAAAAATTTCGAATCAAAAACTTTTACTTAGGCAATGACATGTCACCAATAGACAAAACTTTACATGAGAATTTCAAATATAATATTAGAGTCAGCCCTACCATAACTTCTATTATCTTGTATTTATGAGCAAAGACGCGCAATGGGTTGTTAGGAGCGAAGAGTTCCGTCCGAGGTCAATAAAGCTACACTCATTTATGATCCACTGATCGAGAATCCGAATGAACTGGGATACCTGGACCTTTTGTGGAAGCAAACCCTGCATTTCCATATGAAATTCCTTTAGTTGCATGCTCGGGTTCCAGAAGGTATAGCTCTTGCCATGGCTTCGCCTTTGAAATCAAATCTGAGATGTTCCAATTGCCTATCCACTAAAGCCTAACATGTTTGTTAATCCATATCCACTGAGGTCAAAGTTATAGTTTAAAGATTCCACATTATTACGAATTAAAAATAAGAAATATTTTTTTTTATTTAATGGGAGGCCGGATGGGTTAAAATAATACTGTGGACTACACAGCTTTTAAACTCATCAAATTGGTGAAAACACTTTTTGTCGAGAGGATCCGAACTCGAGACCTTCTATTCCTCACATAAGTAAGAAAACTAATCAGATCATACCTAATTGGGAAAAATGTTAATTTGAGTCTCTCTCCACCTATATATTAGCTTAAATTTTTAAGTTGGGTAACATTGTTTCTAAAATTGTAAGACTATATTTGGTAGTGAAGTTAAATGAAATAAGAAATGAAATAAACGATAGAACGAGAATAAGAATATGAATTCTTATTTCTATATTTAATATGCAGCACATAATAAAATTTTTATTTTATTATTGTAATGAAAATGAAATGAAAATCACTAAAAAGATTAAAATCTCCATAATTTTATATTGTAATTTAATTTATTCAATGAAAATATATGAAATTATGTGTAAAAAAAATTAATTTTCAATGAATTTAACTTTTATTTTTTTGGTATTTAATAGTTTGATATAATGAATAGTTTTTCCTTTATTTTGGTTCCAATTTTTTTTAAAATACTCCCATGAATTATATTGTATGTTAATTTAATTTATCAATGAAAAATATATGAATTAGTGGTATGTTAAAAATACAATACTATAATATTTTTCATACTGAATTTAACTCCTCTTATTTTTTTAGGCATAAGGACGTTAATTTACATAGTTGTGAGCTCCACTATAAGATGAATAGTTATTATTTACACTTCTTTTTCTGGTTACAATCGTTTCTTTATCATTAATATTACATGATGTATGGGCCGGTACCTATTCGCACGAGATAAATTGTTTTTTAGTGTTGTTGGCTGCTTATTTAATAGCATTTAGCTGTATAGATGTTTTGAGTAGCTTTTACATGAAGCTTAAAAGAGTTTGACGCTCTCACATGAGTTAATTTCATTCACAAAACGCAACTATTCGATAACTTTTAAAAGGCTCAGTTCTCAAATGTATCATTTACCGAATAACTTTTTTATAAGCAAACTGCGTCCACCGCTATAAAACTAAACACTTAAACAGCTCTGATTTGTCGACCACACTCGATCTATAATAGATAGTGGTAGGCCTGCGTTCGTATGATTGTTGCATGAGTTGTGTGCGCGTATTAATTAATTGATGAGTGATTATAAATGAATGTAAAAATAAAATGATTAGATTTCACATTTATAAATTTCTTTCATATCATGACCAAAATAAGAAATGAAATGATTAATTAACATGTTCCGATTAAATTTTTTCCACACTATATGACCCAAAAAAATTAGAAATGAAAATATTAATTACTTTCCATAAATTTTTTTCAATATTAAATGACAAAAAATAAATAATTAAATGCTTAAATACTATTCGATTATAACATTTTCATTGTATTACAGTTTTTTCATTACCATTATATTACTAGTTACTTCAAATATATTACATTCCATTCAACTAAATATAACTTTTGTATATGATATTTCCTTCTTCCAACACATGCACGGTTCAAAAAATTATTCAGTATTTATATGAATTCTCCATAAAAAATAATGAATAGTTTTTTCATTATTTATAACTGAACCAATATCGATGGAATTCAATTATTTTATTAGAGATATACTCGGTTTCAATTCATTCAATTATTATTTTTGAATTTTTTTTTTAATTTTGAAGTATTAATTCAGTTACAAATCAGAAATAATTATTTTTTATAATTAATATATCAATTACATTGTCATTAACTGGATTACTGGACAAACATTTACCACCAGTGCAAAATAAATTCCAAGCATTAAGGAATCGCTCTTAATGGTTATCAACATAACCTATTGAAGAACTGGGCTTACGAAGTTCTTTGATTGCATGTAGATGCTTACCTAATAGGCCCATATATTCATAAAAGGCCCAACCAAGCATAAAATGCTTCTTTAAGGCACATACATGCGTAAAATGCTTTCTTTCCAATATCTGCGTCTTGTCTCTAATACAAGTCAGATCCTATAATAACCTATAATATCACTACTAAAATATATATGAATAATAATAACAAACTTATCATATAGTTAATATATGATATC